TCTACAAAGTGAGCTCAATGCCAGCCTGAACTACATAGCGAGATCCTGGCTCAAAAAGACCAAAAAAAAAAAAAAAAAAAAAAAAAAAAAAAAAAAGAAAGAAAAAGAAAGAAAGAAAAGAAAAGAAAAGAAAAAGAAGAAAACATTTTTAAAAATACTATAGTGGGCTTTGGTTTTGTAAAAGGAAGCATGAAGCAATCTGTTGGGACCCAGTACAATCTGAAAGTGATCGTATGTGGGAGGGCAGGACAAGGCCTCAGTGCCTAAATCAGGCAAGCTACCTCAGTCTTGAGAAAAACATCCTGCCTGGTCAGTTTCAGCTGTTAGTCACTAGGCAACCTTGCTTCTCCTGATACTAACTTTGCAAAGATGTAATAAACGTCCCTACTATTAATCTTTGGGTCCTTCGCCAGTCAGGCATGGGCCACCATCTGACCTCAGCTATTATCTCTGTTCTTTATTTTCCTCATCCTGTTTTCTCCAGGGAACCACAGAGAAATCAACAAATTCCTACAACAATCTGGAAGGCTGGGGCCAGGGAGATAGCTCGGTGGCATAAGTGCCTGCCTGGCAAGTGCAGAGATGCTGAGTTTGATCCCCAGTACAAAAATAAAAAATAAAACAATCTGGAAGACTGGGCATGGGGCTGCACACTCATAATCCCAGGACTCAGGGGACTGTGGCAGAAGGACTTGTGTGAGTTCAGGGCCTGACTAGGCTACAAAGTGGTAGTGAACTCAAGGCTGGGCTGACCTAAGGAGGCTGTCTTTCGAAAAGGAAGGAAAAAAGAAATGAAACGTTCTTTATTGAGATAGTGTTCACAGGCCATACTGTTCACCCTTTTAAACAGTTTATACTAGTTGGTACAGATTCAGTACAATTTATGTTGGTCAAGAGTGAGTAACCATTATAGCAATCCATTTTGAGACATTTCGTCCTCACTGCAGGAAGAATCTGCCCCCCTCCGCAGCCGCTTGCAGGTCCCAGCCTCCTGATTGCATCCATAGCCCTGGGCAGCTGTGGATCTGCTTTCTGCCTGTAGATTCATCTGCTCTAGAGACTGCATTTCTGTGGAGTCCTACAATATGCAGTCTTTTCATGACTTTTCTCCTGTTTAGCATGATGGTTTGACATTTAAAAATGAATTGTTGGGGCCAGGGAGGTGGCTCAGTAGAATAAGCGCTTCCCTGGCCAGCGCAAGGGCCTCAGTTCAATTCCCGGTTCTGCCAAAAAATAAAAAAATAAAAAAAATAAAAAATAAAAAAAAAATTGTTTCTGGGTTTTTAGGTGCTATTCTGAGTAAGGGTGCTGTATACTAGTTTTTGTGTGGACCTGCGTTTTCTCATCTCTTGGATCATTTCCTAGGAGTTGTGGATATTGCTAGTCCCCAGCTGTGGGTCCAGAGCTTTCTGAGCATAGCCCGGGAGGAGTTGGCAGATTGTGGCAGCATTTTCTACCCACCCAAGTGGGTGTGGGAGAGTGCCAGCTTTTCTTCGTCCCTGCAGCTGTTTGCTGCTGTCCGAGTGGAAGCGTCCCATGGGAAGGAAGTGGCTTTGACTTGCGTTTCCCTGATGGCTAGTGCCGTTGAGTGTATTTTCATATGTGTGTAGGCTGTGTGTGTATCTTCTTGGAAGAAATCCCTGCTCAGGCTGATTGGCTTTTATTTTTTTTTATGGTGGCGATGGTGGTTGTCATATCTGGGCTGTACCCCAGGGCCTTGGCCCCAGTTCCTTTCATTTTTTACTTTGGTCCTTTGACTTTTTTTTTTTTTCTCCTCAGCCCCATCCTTTGCCATTTTTAAGTTGGGCTGTCTTCTATTATTGTGAGAGTCCAAATCATAGGTGTATATACACATGTAAGCATACATACACTTGCAAATATTCTTTTTTCCAATATGTGGCTTACCTTTCATTTTCTTGATGGTATCTTTTACAACAGAAGTTTTCAATTTCCCACCCAGCTTTGTGGAGACGTAGTTCACAAATGAAAATTATGTATATTTGCGGTATACAACACAGTGTTTTCTTGTAAGTGTATACATGAAGTGATCATCACCGTTAAGCAAGCATACCTTTCACCTCACATAATGATGGGTTTTGTGTGTTTGATGAGAGCATTGGAAATGTCATTAGCAAAGTTCCATAGCATCATTAACTGTAAGCACCAGGCTGTACTTTAGAGCCCTGCCTAATGGAACTTGGCATCTAATCTGTTCCTCACACCTCTCCCTTCTCCCGCTGTCATTCTCTCCACTTCTGGACTCTGCTCTTCTGGATTCCACATGGAAACGGGATTGGGCAGTATTTGCCTTTCCTGTATCTGGCTTATTCACGTAGTGTAGCATCTACCAGGTTCAACCATGCTGTCCCCAATGGCAGAATTTCCTTCTTTTTCTGAGGCCGAATAATGTCCTTCAGCGTGTCTCATTTTCTCTGTCTGTCAACGGCTCTTACTGTTTCTGTGTGCCGACTGCTGCCGGTGCTGCTGCAGCAAGCATCGGATCACAGATGACTCAAGTGAGCCCGCTGCATTGTGTGACAGACAGCTTGTTCTTAAGTTTTTGAGTGACTTGGCTCTTTCCACGATGATTGTAATTCACACTCTCACCAGTAGCGTAGAAGGGTGCCCTTTTCCCCCACATTCTTTAAACACTTGTTATCTTTTCCCTCTTTGCTAATAGCCATGCTACCATATGCAAAGTGACGCTGTAGTTTTGATACAAAGCATCTAATTCTGATGAATTAAAAGCTTCTCATTCTGATTTATCTGCTTTTTCTTTCGCTACATATGCTTTTGGTAGCCTGTGAAATTCTTGCTTAACTCCAGGTCATGAAAAGTTAGTCCTATATGTCCTTGTAAGAGTTTCATAGTTCTAGTTGTTACGCTTAGGTCTAATTTTTGTGTTTGGTGTGTGAGGCAGGATGCAGTGTTATTCTTTCTTGTGGATGCCCAGGGGTCCCAGAACCACTTGATGAACGGTCTGTTTTTTCCCTGCTGACCTGTGCTATCCCCATTGTTGAAAACCAGTTGCCCATGAATGTAAGTAAAAGCTTATTTCTGGGTGCAGATATCAGACCCTGTGCCAGAACCATGCTGATCACTGAGTGTTTGGAAAGTGTGAGTGTGCCGCATTTATTCTTTATTCCTGGTACCAGAGATTGAACTCAGGACCTTCCATTTGCGATGCAGATGCACTACTGAACTATATCCCAGGCTCACTACATTTGTTCTTTTCCAGGATTGTTTTGGGGCCCTTGAACTTGCATATGAATTTTAGGATCAATTAATTAGTTTTTGAAAATAGATTTTGTGTCTATGGGTTTTCATAGACATTACTTTGTAGAGTTATTTTAGACGTACAACAAAATTCAGCAGAAAATAGAGTTCCTATATTCCTCTTACACATGCACTTTCTTATTGTCATTGTCTGCTGCCAGAGTGTACACATGACAGTGGATAGGTCTGCCCTGGTATGTTACTACCCAAGGACCACGGTTTGCAGGAGAGCTCATTCTTGGTGTTTATACCTTCTATGTGTTTGGACAAATGTATAATGATGTACATTATCCATTAGAGTATCATGCTCAGAATGTGTTAGAATTTCTTCTTGTTAGCCAAGCCTTCTAATTATTCTAAGGAGAATAGTTTGCTAATGTAATTTTTATAAGTTAAAAATATTTTTAAAACTATATATTGGTTATGTATTTTCTCCTGAAAATAACTGGAAGTGGCCAGGTGTGGTGGCACACATCTGTAATGCCAGCACTCAGGAGGCTGAGGCAGGAGGATCCCTGTGAGTTCAAGGCCAGCTTGGGCTACAAAGGAAGCTCAAGGTCAGTCTGAATTGCATAGTGAAGCCTTGTCTGAAAAAAGCAAAAGAAAGGAAGGAAGGAAAGAAAGGAGAGAGAAAAAGGAGCTGGGAGGTAAGGTAGCTATTCAGTCTGAGCGCCTGCCTGGCAAGCACCAGGACTGGAGTTTGGTCCCCAGTACTGCATGCCATGCTGTGCCGGTGGGGGCCGTGTGTGCCTGTGATCCCAGCACTGGGGAGGCTGAGACAGGAGGATCACTACAAGTCTGAGCTGGGTAGTGAGATCCTGTACCAAATAAACTTAAAAAGAAAGAAAGAACCTGGAAGTGATTGATGAAAATTTCTTACTGCATTTATTCTGTTGCAGTGAAATTAGAGTTTAAAAAAAAGTCCTCTTTGGCATCTGAGGAGACTTCAGGACAGTGTTTGTGACTCGTGGAGTTGGGCAAGGCCAGTGGTTGGAGAACTAAATCTGCATGCACACTTAGCATAGTAGAGGGGGTCGGTGCTGCTTAGGCTGTGGGGTGAGCAGGTTCATGTGGGGTTTCTGTCAGAGCATTCTCCGTTGTACATTTCCACCCCATCGTGCGGTACGTGACAGGAGACAGGTATACAGCACCGAGGTTCCAGCTCGGCCTGTGGAGTCCCCGCTTCCTGGGGTCGAAAGCTCCCTGCCCCGGTGACTGCAACCCTGAGCCCAACAGCAAGGCTGCTCCAGGACCATTCCTTGGGGACATCATTGGCATGTTGACATGTAGCTTTAATCGTGGCTATGGAAGAAAGTCCTTGGTGGTTTTGTTCCATTCTATTTTTCCCTCTTCACAGTTTTTGTTATAAAAGCTACAAAGTATTTTGAGGAAAGTGCAACTCTGGAGTATATTTAAGCTCTTGTAATGAACATTTTATTTTCAGGCAGATTTAGTTCCTATCTTAAGCATTTTAATGTGAAAATGGAACTTCCATCCCCAAGGTTGTTTTTGTTTTTTTTTTTGGTGGAACCAGGGATTGAATTCAGGACCTTGTGCTTGCCAGGGAAGCACTTATTCCACTGAGCCATCTCCCCAGCCCCAGCCCCAAGTATTTGGTTACTGGCATTTCTGCCAAGGGAGGTTTTGGCTGAAGCAGTGTATTAGAACTTTGATCAATTAAACTCTAGTTAAGCAGTCAGTCCTGCCTTTTTTTTCCTTCACAGAAAAGTCCCTTGAGCTGTGTGTCACCAAAGAGATGCTCCTTCTTAGTGTCACAACTGCTTACACAGGTAAGGAGGTTGTCATTCTGGTTCGCTGTTGTTGTATAATGACAGTAAGGGCTTAAAACAATGCTGGATTATGATTTCTTTCTTTCTTTTTTCTTTTTTGGTGGGAACCGGGGATTGAACTCAGGCCCTTGTGCTTGCCAGGGAAGCGCTTATTCTACTAAGCCATCTCCCTGGCCGCAAGGGTTCTGATTTCTTACACCTCTGTGCTTTCACTGTATTCAATGTGGCATCACCTGGGGTCTCCTGAGGATGCTTTCCAAGGGCAGCTGGGTTGGAGCCTCTGACAGTTTTGTTTCCCAGGTCTTCTATCTTGCCAGGGTTGGCAGTGTTGCTGTGTTTGTCCGTCTGTCTCTCTCCTTATGGTCTCAAGAGCCCTCCCACTTGTAGGACCCCTCTTCTGTAGGATCTCTTGACCAGACAGGAGAGTGAGACTTCTTAGGTAGTGGCTAAAGGCACCAAGAGGGCCACAGGCTCTGGGGAGCTAGCTCAGCAGCACAAGCGCCTACCTGGAAAGTATAAGGTCTTGAGTTCAATTCCCAGTACCTAAAAATAAAAACTTTAAAAAGGAACAACAGGAAAACAACCAAACCTTCCTGAAGGTACAGCCTACTGCATTGTATTGGTGAGAGGTGATTGCAGGGCCAACCCAAACTCAGTGTGGGAGGGTTCTGTGTGAGGGCAGGAAAGCCCGTGATCAGGGCTCCTGTGATTCTAAGGTAACAGCAAATAGCCAGCTAAGCCCCTGTAACTTCATATGGGCTGAGAATGCTTCTAATGAAGTAGAAGCACATGATAGTATGATAGGAAAACAAGCAAAACATCATTGTTCTTGACAGTAATGAAGGCTAGGTATGCTGGCACACACCTCTAATCCCTGTACTTAGGAGGATGAGGCAGGAGGATCCCCAACAAGGCCAGTCTGGGCTACAAACAAGACCTTGTGGCAAACAGACAAATAGAAAAAAAAGAAAAAACAATGATGAGTACATCCATTTCCTTTTGAAAAGTGCTTTGTCAATTAATGTTCTTTTATGTGCCTCATCTTTTCAGAAGAAAATGAGCACTAACATATTCCTTCCAGTTCGAACTGCTGTGGTACAGGCACAGCTGTCTCGGGGGCCACTGTGCCACAGGTGGTACAAACAGATCTTCTCACTCTCATCAGTCTTTTTACTAATACAGCTAATTTTAGGGGCCGGGGAGATGGCTCAGTAGAATGTGTTTGCCTGGCAAGGGCCTGAGTTAATCCCTAGTTCTGCCAAAAAGAAAGAAAGGGAAAAAAAAAACCAAAAAAAAAAAAAACCTGATTTTAAAAGTCTATAAATGAATTGAACCTAGTTAGTTGCATGAATTTGAATAACTACTGCCCAAATGTAAAAATACTGTTCAGGCCAACTAAAAGTTATTACAGTAACCAGTAATTTTATTTCTTTAAATTAAAAGATTTATTTATTTTGGTGAATTTTTTCAGACATTATATATAAAAGGTGGCAGATTGGTGAAGTGTGCAAACTGTCATAACACGCTTGGCTTGTTTGCGTGTGGCCACGGCAGAGCCTATTTCTTTGGGTAGGGCCTCCACATGGCATAGGTGAGATAAATGTGACTCCCAAAGAGGAACGTCTAGGGCTGGTGAGATGACTCAGTGGTCTAAAGCACCTACTTAGAACAAGCTTAGCAAAGCACAGGGACAGCCCGATACATCATACTGTGCAAGAGGAGGGCATGGAGATTGTGTGAGTGCTACCCCTCCCTGGGTGGGGTAACATGTTTACAATATTAGAGAGGAAAAGAGGCTTGTTTTCCACCCCTTTTGCTCTTGCGTTTTTGCTGTCTTCTGCTGCCTTGAGGTTTTACCCCTGTGCCACCCTGCCTTGCAGCTGGCTGACTATAGGCTGAGACCTCCCCAGACTGTCAGTTCAATAAACCTTTTCTCCTGGGCCTGGGGTATTTCTCTCAGCAAGGGCAGAAAAATAACCAAGACAATCCCTTAATGCTACAAAATCTTAACTGTGAATTTTACAAATGTTGAACACATTCGCTAAGGGTCCATAATTCATGTCTTGCTGCCAGGTGGCTCTGATTGGAATTTGATTGTCCCTTCAGCTTGAATCCCTGTGGTACAGTGTCCAGGACAGCTAAGCTGGTGGAAGTGGGAGGCAGTCAGACAGGGAGTGGGGAAGATGAGAACACACCAAAACTATGTCTAGAGGGCTGGAGATAGAGCTCAGCGGCACAAGCACCGTCCTGGCAAGCACGAGGTCGAGGAGGGATTGGGGACGGGGACTGTGGCCAAGGCTCAATCTGACTGTAGTCACAGTGGCCAGATTGACACACCTCTCTAAGGTATAGAAAGAAGTGTGAGATAATGAGTATCACCCTTCAAATTTCCCATATAAATAAATAAATTTCCCACCCATTATGTCATCCCGGCCCACCCACTAGGACCAAGGCTACTAAAACCAAAGCTAAGACTGAAACTATAGATTATGCATCGAGGTTGATGACCTCATCCAGGGGCATGGGCCGTGTGGCCATCTCCCGTTGGATCAATATCACCTTAACAGCTGTACTTGTGGTCTTACTGTCTGATCACAATTTTGACCCATGTTGTTCCCACCTCATGATTTTGCTCTATAAAATTCCCTTTGCGAGTAGGCTCATTGCCAACCCACATTAGGGACCCCGCCTGTCTCTCAGGAGTCATCCTCTTACCCCTTGCTTCTCCCCAGTAAAATTTCTTTTTTTTTTTTAATTTTATTTATTTATTTGTGTGTGTGTGTGTGTGCGTGTGTGTGGCCAGCTCAGCCCACCAGGGGGCGGGGTGGCTGGCATGTGGTGCTGGGGGATTGAACCGCAGTCCCTGTGCTTTGCCAAGCCTGTTCCAAGTAGGTGCTTTAGACCACTGAGCCATCTCACCAGCCCCCCCAGTAAAATTTCTTACTCTTAGTAAATTCCTCAGAATTTATTCTTCAGTTTTTGAGGCGCACAAACTCAGCATATCAGCTGTCCAGCTCTTTTTTTTTTTTTTTTTTTTTTTAGGGAAGGGTCTACAGGGTGTTCAGGGTCACTACTAGATCGGACTCTAATGATCCGCCTGCTTACAGCCTCCCAAGAACTGGGATTACAGGTGTGAGCCACCACACCCGGTCTCAATCACCATCTTGGCACACCCCAGGGGCGGGGCCAGCACGGCAGGCCTGGGGTTTGAACCCCTGGCCCCTGCACCTGCTTGCAGGCACTTTAATCCCCTGAGCTATTTGTCTGGCCCAAGACTGGATATATTTTATTTTATTTTTTTTTTATTTACTTTTTGAAGAACCGGGGATTAAACTCAGGCCCTTGCACTTGCCAGGCAGGTGCTTATTCTTCTGAGCTATCTCCTTGGCCCCTAAGACTGGATATATTTTAATTGAACTTTTCAGTTTCACAACATGAGGTAAAATAAAATAGTTTTCCTTAACCAGTATTTCACACAGCTATAGTATAACATTTTAGACTTCAGGTATTTATAAGGAATTACATTTCTCAAAAATTGGTATTAAGTAAATTTTACTTAACTATTCAAAGTTTCTAGTTGACTCTTTACAATAATAAGTTCTAAATACCTAAGTTTCAAGGCCAAGTTTTTTTGTTTTTTTTTGGAACAGGGAGGCCAAGTTTTAATCACTAATGTCTTCAGATCTTAAGTCCTGCTGTTTGACTCAATATCCACTAATTCTACTTCAAAAATGAGTTTTGCATTTGGTGGCATTTGGGCATGAGGCTGCCCTTTCTTTCAGCCCATTCTGGTTCAATCTCTGGTCGAGCCTTTTCACCTTTGCTCATGGTCAAGAGTGCTTCATCCCAACCTCTGATAACCTTGCCCACTCCAACTCTAAGACTTAGAGGCATTTTGCTTCTTCTCTGAACTTGTTTGAATATTAGTATCAAAAGCTGCCCCATGCTGCAGCGTCCCTGTGCACCAGCCATGAGCAGCATCTCCCTTTTTGGGAACATTGGTTTTCTCTCCCTTTTTCAGAGTAGGTTTTGTGTATTTTGGTGGACCTTCATCCTTCTTCACACTTGGCTTCCTTGGGCTTTTCTCTTTGAGTTTCACGTTTTTCACTTGATCAGTCACTTATACTTTCTGTACCTTTGAAACACTTAGTTTCAAAAAGATGGTTATAAGCTGTAACCAAATGATCCTTATTAGCAGTCTTAGCTACATCTTAAATGCTTCCTAATAATTTGTGCTCTGCAAGAAACGAATCCGAACCATGGTCCTGCAGAGGCTTGATTATGTCCTTCTTGGGCAGCTGCTCCACGGTCCGCGCCCACCGTGGCGCGGTGGCACCATCTTCCCCCACTGCTCTGCTGCTGTAAGGTTAAATTAAATCTGATTTTTTTTTTAAAGGTCTGGAATTGACTTTCTTCTCTACTATATATGGAACTTGTATTGGTGCTATAAATAAATTTGGAACAGAAGAGAACAGCCTCATTGGACTTTCTGGCATTTTCACCGGCATTGGAGAAATTTTAGGTTGGTTGGCTTTTTTTTGTTATTGTTGTTGTTTTAAAAGCTTTTAAAGCCAGGGAGATGGCTCAGTGGATTAAGTGCTTCCCTGGCAAGCGCAGGGACCTGAGTTCAATCCCCAATTCTGCCAAAAAAAATTTTTTAAAAATTAAAGATTTAAAATTTCTGAATTTAGTTGATAACACCACATTTCCAAGAAAAGCTTTTTAATATTAGTTTGTTATAGTTAAAATGCTAATATTGAATGTATTTCTCTGTCCTTGAAGTTTTGGGTTTTTTAAAAATTTTTATTTATTTATGTGTGTGTGGCCAGCTCAGCCCACCAGGGG